TAATCATCAAAATTAAACAAAATAAACATCTGAAATATATGAGTTTGTATGTAATGTATGAATATAATATACAAGTTTCACTTTTTAAATGGAATTACTGAAATCAATCTACTTTTTCATGATATTCTAATTTTATGACCAGCACCTGTAGTTCCTGCTCCATATATTGACTGAGAGATTTAGGGGATTCAGACGTTACGTCCCCCCTAATCACTATATATGGCACTATATATTGTTAGGCAATTTTAAATGAGTGTCTGAATGTCTACTTGATGGAAAAAGTAGTGGACTTAAAATTTTCCGCACTGCTCCTTGAAAAGTAGTGATCAACAATGGTCACTAGATGAGCAGATATATCCCAGAATGCTTTGCAATAGCTCTCCTCACAAAGCGTCATGGGATTTGATGTAGCGGCAGTAAATAACAAATATGGCGCAGGCAGGTGGAGGTGGAGTTACGTGACCAACAGGGAGCGAAAACTAGTGATCATCTGTCCGAACGGTCAGTTAACCGAGTTCACTATATAGTCCCCACTGTATATAGTGATTGAGGGATTTAGGGGTTAGGGCAGATGTTTTGTTAATGAGGAAAAAAAAGGTCAATCTAGAAAAGAAACTTTAAAAAAAAATTTTTATCAAAAAAGGTTTTGGTAAATTTATTTTCAATTTTTTTCTTTTCTGTTTATAGATTTTTTTTAATTTATTTCCAATTAAAATCTGTAGAAAGGGGAAGAAAAAAAATTGTTTCATTTATGAATAGTTTTTTTTTTTCATGTACAAAATGTATTCTTCCCTTGCAACAATAATACAAATCACATCAACTGCATACAGATAAAACTAGCTCCATGAAAGTATTTTTAAAGCTGTTATTTTCCAAAAGCAACAATGATCAACCATCAACTCTGATTGCTGCAGGCTGGGTTCCGGTGGAGCGGAGCAATAAGCAGTATTGTTGGCACTCCTCTGTGGTCGATTACGAGGTCGGGGAAGCTCTTGTTATGAAGCCCAGCTGCGACGATGAGAACATGTTGGAAATAACCGCAGTCCCATTGGCAGAGCTTCAGGAGCTGACGCTGGAGCTCATCGGAACCAATGTCAATGGAAACCCTTACGGTGAGGCAGCTCTGTGTTTACATTCAGGCTGCGGAGGGAAGGAAACTCTGCTCTGAACGCTGCAAAAACAATCGAGAAATAAGTACAAGTGTATTTACCCTTAATTTGAGCAGTTGAATTAGATAATCTGCCAAAGACATACGTAGTTCTACTCTTAAAATACGATAATTAGATAATATGCACTTGAAATAATGCAATGTATTTAATTTTTCTTATTTTACGTTTAAATTGTGTTGTTCCATTGGCCAAGTGTCTCATTTACCTCCGCAGTTCAAGAAAAAATGCTCTCATTTTAAGTAAAAATTACTTCTTCAGATGTAAGTTTTTTGCAGTGAAGCATGCATCCACTGGAGCGTAGACTCCTTTCTTCCTTAAGTTATTCCCTAAATGGTGCCTATTTAACCACTGGTTTAAAGGCGCTACTAGCCCAACTAGTACTATTAACGGTATCGATACGGTACCTTAGCCATTCCTTTCTGAGTCAAAAAACAAAAGATGACCAGTTTATTTGGTAAACATCTACGACAAAAGCACAATAAATAAATAATATAAAAATAGCTTTTTTCATGAAATTAATACAATAAGGGTTAATGTATAAAATAAAACTATCTAAAAGTTTCAGACAAGTATTCAAAAAAAAGCCCCGTATTAAATGTACAAATAATTTATAGCCTAAACATTTGTTGCTTGTTTTAAACGCCACGATTAAACATCCTGCACTAATTAAAAGAATGCAAACTTATTTCACTGCTTCATATGTTTGCTTTGCATGCGTACACACCTGCTGGATCTGACTGAGAGGCAGAGCTTGCTGATGAAAACCGCATCTTTGTATGTTGGGCACTTCGGCGAAGTGTTTTTGACAGATGACTTGCGTTCTCTCCTTTCCAAGCAAAGCTTTTATAACAGTAACTGCAGCAGGCGTTTTCAACATCAGTTTTGCAAAAATCAGGCTTTGGACCTTTTTGTTTTTTCTGCCTATAAATAAAATGATTTTATTTGTTTTTAAAACTCTTAATGGCCTTGCCCTTCCTTATCTGTCTGAGCTGTTACATTCTTACACACCCTCCCGTTCCCTTAGGTCAGCTGATCAGTTACTTCTGAGGGTCCCAAAGACAAATTGCAAGCTCAGAGGAGACTGTACTTTTTCTGTAGCAGCTCCTAAGCTATGAAATGATCTGCCTTGTTGATAGCCATCCTGTTTGTGATAACTACATCATAATTACACTCCGCTTCATTGAAACGAGATGATAAATAGTCTGACAGTATATCAGAGCGACATCCACTTCTATTAATGATACTTTTATATCCATGTACATTAGAAACGCATATTTTATTCATCTTTTTTTCAGTAACCTAGGTTCCTGTTTTATTATATCTTCTAAATATGTGATTTAATAATGTACAAGAATATATTTCCTTGTTCACTCAGTATTTAATACAGCTGGCACAATAAACTGTTACAGTATAATAATGTTTTTATTTTTTTATTTAGCATATTATAAAATATAATTTGTAGGGATGCACGATATTGGGATTTTGGCCGATATGCCGATATTTTAAAACTCATGTAGCTGATAACCGATATCGTTACCGATGTTAAAGCTGGAAAAAAATAAGTAGTCGTTGAAAATAGCAGTTTTGTTATCCATTTCTGACACTTTGAAAAATAATATACTCAAATATATTTTCATATGCTGATATCAAATTGATTTTTAAAAACGCGGGTATCGATCTATTTTAATTTCAAAATCAAAATTTCATCGTTCTGTTACAAACTCTCGTGATATTTTGCAAATTCTTGTGAGATTTTGTTAGTAAAATAGACCGATACCGCGTCAATATATCAACATATAAAAATATGGCAAAATTTCGTGAACTTTCGGGGGATTTCGTAGCATAACGATGACATATAGCAATATTTCATTAGTAAAAGAGATTGATATGGTTTTTTTAAATGGCAATATATCAGCATATGAAGATATTGTGATATTTAAATGTATCAATATTTTTTCCCTCGTCTTTAGAAGTTTTTAAGTCTGTAAAAAAGAAGTTTTTGAGGAAGAAGAAGTAGTATTTATTTTTTAGACTTTAGAAACTCAGAAGCTGATCAAATATCGGGTTAAATATCGGTGGGGTGGCCGATGTCCGATATTCCTTTTTAAGGCCGATACCGATAGGGGGCCGATTATATCGTGCATCCCTAATAATTTGGGCTCTTATGTGAATGGTAAGGTCTTCTTGATATGGGAGCAAATTTTTAAAAAATGTTTTATAAATGATCAAGAAGTTCAGTCAACTTTATTGATATCTGACATCCCTACATAACATCGATTCAATCGTTGTCCCGCCCACTGATTAACACTAACTTAAGCTCTCAAGAATTTGTAAATAAATTGCAAAATGTTATTTAAGTTATTTTTAGCATAATACTGAGCTCAGGGTCTTGGCAAACTGGTGAGTAGTTGTGTTGCTCTGTGTGAATCAGCCAATTAGATGTCAGGGCTTCTATAGCAGGCGCTTTAATCCCACCCACTAAGTTTGATGGGCCATGTTGACAGTTTTAAATAATCAAGTTGATAGTTTTAAACCAACTCTGCTAGAAATAAATAACTGTAGGTTTAAACAACTCAATTCTAAAATGAAATTTTATACTTTAATGATGTACAAAATATATGGTACATTGAATTATTTAATGGTAGATTTTATGTTACATTCATTTTTTAAATCTTGCATGTAGTTTAGTCGCTTTTAACACTCCGTAGAACTGGAAACAAATCTTTTCATTCAAGATTCATTGTTTTAGGAGTGTCTATTGTCGTGTATATGAATTTGAAAGTAGTTTTTTTTTTTATTGAAATAATTGAATTGAAATTAAATCAATAACTTGACAATTTTTAGCATAATAATTGTTTTTCAAAACCGTACTATCAAGCCAAAGGTTATGATAAATGTTGTGACTCTATGCAGTCATTGGTGTCTTTATTAGGGCAGCGACCTGATCAGTGCACCTGAGCTAAGGCTGCTCTGTGGAGATGCGGATATTTAAAAGGTTAATTTAATTTTTCTTCCCTCATCATCACAGCTTTCATCTATAGTCAAGTTGATTTCTCTGTACAGGACTGGGAAGTAAGAAGCAGCCCGTCCACTGCCTGGTTCCGCATGGCTGTATTCTGATCAGGAACCCCCCACCTGTGGACTTCCAGCAGCTATGCTCCTGGTTCCAGGAGAGCTCAGACGGTCAGGTGGAAGGCATCGTGTGGCACTGCAACGATGGCACACTGGTTAAGGTAGGAGGAGCTGTCATAAAGCATTAGCAGCTGTTGTTCTTCTAGGTTTATTTAATGTCGTTTGTCACGTTTCATACCTTTGGTAGCAAAAGCGTGTGCTTATGTTGGCAGATTCACCGCCACCACCTGGGACTGAGGTGGCCAGACGGTGAAAGCGGCCTCGCCAACCGGCCCGTGACCATCCGCCTCGAAGGAACGGTTGACGCCTACAATAGTAGAGGCTTGTTGGCATCATTATTGTCACTGAACGGACGCAGCTTCAGTCGGCTTCAGGACGTTCAGTATGAGGTGTAAATTGTTTTTGCTGCAGGTTAAAGCATCCTGAACGTACAAACTATCCTCAACCTTCTTGATGAGAAACTGAATTTAAAGGAAGTCTTAATTTAAAAAGGTTTTAGTAGGAGGAAGAAGCATCATTCTAATAAATGACACCAAATAGATTTAATTGTGAGGATGGTTTACAAAGGCACAGCTGGAATGTGAAACTTAATTGTTCCTGTAAATACTGTAAATAAAATAAAATGTTCTCTGAAGAATAAATTCAAGACAATTCCAACCAGTTAAAGTATTTTTTATTGACTAATACAGAAAAGAAAATCTCACAGATCAACATCAACAAAACTACAACTTTATAAAAATGAACGATGTTTGAAAAAAACTGTAAAAATAGAAAAAGTGCTGTTTTGCTAATAATATATACTAAGTGATCTAGAAATGCAGACCTGAATTGTATTAGGTCATACCTGCCTGATTGCATCACATAAACATAACAAAAAGGCACAAAGACCCTGAGTTAACTGATGGAAACGCTGGGCATTTCAGCCTCCACCCCAAACCGATCGCACACCTTCTTCAGCTGCTCCTCCAGCAGAACATTCTTTTTCAGCTCTAAGTTGTAGTTGTACTTCAAGTCCTCCAGCTCCTCAAAAAAGTTTGGGTCGAAGTTCTTGAGCTCTTTCCGTAGCCTTCTCAGCTCGGCTTGAAGTTGAGATTTCTCGCTTTCAGCGGCTTGAAGTAGCCTTTTCAGGTTCCCAGAACCTTTTGAAGACAACATCCAACATCAGTTATGTGCTCATCTACGTATGCTATGTAGCCTGATATATACTGGGTTACCCCTTTAAATTATTAAATCACACATTTCAATCATGGTGACAGATACCACTAACGAGGTGTGCGGACTGATAACATTTTAGATCAAAGTGAATAAATGAGGGTGAACAGATGCTGAGAGGCTCAGTGGGCAAGGAACCAAAATAAACTGGAAAAAAAAAGTTTGAAAAATAAGACATTTCATAATATTAGTCTGAGTAAGTCTTATTTGATACAATGGTGTATTAGAGCCATACTCATTTTTTTTTTATTAGAGACTAAAATTGTAACATTGACATTAAAGGAATCCACAGCAAGTTGTAACAAAACACTTTATTTTAGAAATATTTATTACCTCCACCAATGAGATCATGTTTTTGGTCAAATTTGTGTGTTTGTTGTCCGCCTGTGTACAGCATAAGTTATGAATATATTTTAAGAAATTTTACCAAAGGTGCACCTCACAAAATCTGGATGCAGGAATTAGTTAAAATTATTATTTTTTTTTACATTATTTGGTGGAACAAGCAGTTCCACACTTAAACAGAGGGTGGCAGCAGTGACTATTGACAGCTTTTTAGCATCAGAATAAAAAAAGTCCAGAGGTATAATACTGAAGACAAAATACACAGGAAAGGTGAGCCATGCCTCGCCAGAAGTCATGATCTGCTGATCAAATAAGAAAGCATAGTGAATGAGTGAGAGCAGAACAAACACCAGAGGCTTCAGACACACACTATGCCTTATTTATGAACTTACAAAAGGATTTAAAGGAAATATTTACCAAAGGTGCACCTCATGTCAAGGAACAATTCATTCAAATTTGGTAATTAAAATAAAAATAAACAAAAAAAATAAACAAGTTTGGTAATGATCCAGATCATGTGTGAGTTTAGCTATAGATCTAAGTCACAATATGGGGTAAATTTTTCAGCTTGGTGGAGGTCTGCGCTCAGAGTGTTTTTTTTAGGTTTTTATTTAAATATAATACAGCAAAAAATACTGCAAGCTATTTAAGTTTAATACATTTAAATCAAATATTGTTACAAGGATGCTGTCATTTTGTTTACGTGGCAAAGTCTTCTGGTTTAATAACATATGCTAGGTCCTGTAGCGCTAGCTCCATACAGCAAATACAGCAATGAGTAACATTAAACCTTTTCAGTTTGAACTGGAGCATGTTGAATTTAACGACAATGTCGAAATGACAAGAGGTGATGAAGATGAGGAGGACCACATGGAGGAAGAATGGAGAGTGGTCTGAAGAAGCTGGTGTTTGTGTGGCTAGCCGAGATTAAGCACTGTGCTACAAGCTCCAGTTTCTAACTGTGGCTGTTTTCGGTTAGCATTGAGATAAAAACATTTTCTCAGATACATCAGTGAAGTGTTATGGTGCATTCACATCAAAAGCGACCTGGGGGACAAAGCATCTGGTTTCTGGCAAAGTCTATGTTGGACGGCATCAAGCAGTGTGGAGAGGTCCTGTGTTGGTTGAGGCATCCAAAAAAGAAATCGCAACTTTAGCAGCTTGAGGCTGAGCGTAAACCTATCAAAGAAGTTGACACAGGAGTTTTCTGAAAGAAAGACACTACATGCAGCTGTGAGCACTTCTGCAGAGCTGTCCGCATCTAAGGAATGAATAAATAAATATAAAGGGGATGAAAACCCAGGATAATGGATATTGAATGCACAGGGGGGTATGTGATAACTATTACTCCAATAGTCACTAGTCAATGAAAAATATTTGATCTTTTTTTTATTCTGGTACTTGCACTTTTTATCATAAAACAAGAAAAAATGCTTTGCATTCACTTTAAGCCGCTACCGACAGCAACAGGAAATCCCTTGAAGCCTGGCTCACTATAGGGAGCTCTCACTGGGGACTCCCAGCACGGTTGCCCCCTGATATACCGAGCTCTGCCGCTCTGAACCTGAACGTTTTAGTAGGACCATAACCCTGATGAACTGATGACGTTTTGAGGTAAACTTTCTCACTTAAAAATGTTTAAAACTACCTTTATTCCAATAACCTGACTCCGCCAGATGGATTTGCTCCGCATATCCATCTGGAAACCTTCCGTTGAAGTAATTTTGGGAAGGGGTGAAAATACTGGTTAGCTGATGGCCTATGTTGGTGATAGACGGGCCAAATAAACCAATCAGATCAACGAAGCATATGGCGTACTAACAGAGCGACAAGGAAAACACAACCACAAGCAGGCTACTCTTGCCGACACCAGTCGGGAGAAGAGCAAAAACATCTTTTCCTCTGAGAAAAGCCTCCAGAGCAGTGTTTTGCTCTTCTTTCAGTGAAGAAATACTCTGTAATTCCAATAAAACTTGCTCGATAGCCACGCTAACGCTAGTTTTATCGGCTGAAGCCGCCATGTTCTTTAGACTGAACTGTCGCGCTTCTCGTTGCGTCACACCTCAACCCGCATCAAAGCCAACGCTGATTGGACGTTCGTTTGGTGAACGGCTCCATTTTTTTTTTTATGGAGAGTCTCCAGACTGATCTGCGAGTGAAACCTTGAAAGCTCGCGAGATCAGGATGGTCTCATGAGGCTAATATTCCAACTCATTAAAGCTAGAAATTCTATACTCTAGATTGCAAAGAAAGAACAGAACAGTGTCGAATACCCTAAAGTGTCAAATTTATTTACTTGTTAATGTTTAAATTGCATTTAATGTGAACACGCATTACGACTGAAACATCGTCAAACAACGTCATTTATTATCTTCCAATTCAATTTTGATTTCATGTTAGCTTCTGCAAATGGTATTAGCTCTATCTAATATACTAAACAATATATCACCAGCCGTTCAGGTATTTGTTTCAACAGATATCTCTTTCATAATGTCTGATGAAAAGGCAGCAACAGAGTGCTATTTTCTAAATTTACACCATTGAAAATGATAAAAAGATACCTAAAGTCCTAACCGCGACATCAACCCAGCATGCATTGCGCAGCTGAAAAAATGGCAACCTCCACGAGTGAAAGAAGCATCACATTTCTGAACTAATTATGAAGTCTTGCGTTACACAAACAACATTTTTATGCCAATAGGAACATTTGTTAAGGCCAACATAAATAATAGATCCCTTTAAAGCCGGGCATACACCTTGTGATATTTTCAATTGTTATATGCAGCTACAGCTCAAACTATACATAAAACCGCAGGGTTTAAAAGTTCAAGGCTCATGATGCATGTTCTCACACTGTGAGACAATACTGCAGGATACGAAAACGATGTGATGCTCCTGACTCTACGTGACCATTCTGGGGATTGCCCCATTCTTGAACATGGCTCCTTGCCAGTCAGTGCATGGAGTGAGTTTGGTCTGGAAGAAGTAAACAGGCCTAAATAAAGTCCTGCTCTAACTAAGGCACGTTAACGTTTTTGAGATCAGAGAAGGCGACCAACATCACTGTGTACGCACCCCTTGTAGAGGCTTTAACAGATTAAAAACTTAGATGTAAGTAAAAAAAAAAAAAAACACTTCTAGTCAGATCATGGTTAAAGTAATCTAATCATGAAATGTTGGTTTTGTAGAGCATTAGCAGGGGGACCTAGAAAGACTCACCGGGTTCTGGACAAGCTTCACTGTCCTGTGCAGCATCTTCATTCAGCTTCTGTTTTAGCTTGGCATTTCCCAGTCTGCAAACAAAGAACATTTACAGCAAAACAGACAGGATGGAGAACTAAGCTGTTCTTTATATCCGACTGTGTCAGGATGTTTTTCATGCAGCCTGCTCTCCGATTTCTTAATTTAATCTCTAAATTAGGTGGTTATGGATGGGTGGAGATAAATACAGGGAAATCCTGGAAGGAAATTTAATAGAGGATGGAAAAGACTTGAGATGAAAGTGGAAGTTGACCTGTCAACATGAGACCAGCCATGAGCCTTCATCAAAGCTACAAGGGAATGGTTTAGATCCATTAGCCAGTTTGACCGGGTCAAAACCTGGATCTAAATCTAACTAATAAAAGATATTGACATTTGTTGATGCTCTCTCTGTAACCTGAAAAAGCTTAAGCTGTTTTCATTCGAAGGATTGCTGGTTCAAGCCCCAGCCTTGGCTGTCAATGTGGCTACTATACTACTTAACCAATATTTTGGGTAAAGTGACCAATTTCTATTGGTCTGCCGTTTTACCGATATCCATTATTTAAAAACACTACCAAATTAGACCAAAGAATTCGTTGGACACATAACTACCAACCATTTCTGTAAAATTCAACCAATTTTTAGCTTGTATTTTCCAGTCTGTTTTCAGAGTGTAGCTGTGTTGAACTGTCTATTCCCCCTGCCTTTTTCTGGGATTCTTTATAAATAAGGTTTAATTCTATTAAAAATAATATAATCGGCACCCCTCTAAATACAGTATAATTGGTTTTCCCTAGAAGGTGAGGCTGCATCTGACTAAAAAACCTTTGTGTTATGTTTTGTTTGTTTTGTTAGTGTTTTGATCAGGACTTCCCATTTAAATCCATTAATAAATCAAAAAGGTTTGTAGGGCTGCTCAGTGGTACAGTGGGTAGCACTGCTCCATTACAGCAAGAAGGTTCCAGGTTAGATTCCCAGCCTGAGGTCTTTCTACATGGAGTTGGATGTTATCTCTGTGCATGCGTGGGTTCTCTGGCTTCCTCCCACAGTCCAAAAGTTAACTGGCTTCTCTAAATTCTCCTTAGGTGTTATTGTGTGGATGAATGGTTGTTTGTCTCTGTGTTGCCCTGCGATGGACTGGCAACCTGTCCAGGTTTACCCTGCCTTTCACGCATAGACAGCTGGAGCTGCACCAGCACCACTCGCAACCCCAGCTGGGATAAAGATGGATGGATGGATGGATGGATGGAGGGAGGGAGGGAGGGAGGGAGGGATGGATGGATGGATGGATGGAGGGAGGGATGGATGGATGGATGGAGGGAGGGAGGGAGGGAGGGAGGGAGGGAGGGAGGGAGGGATGGATGGATGGATGGATGGATGGATGGATGGATGGATGGATGGATGGAGGTTTCTAGAATTTCTTTAATCTCCGTAATATTGCAAATATTAGAAATATCCTGTCCGGGGGTGATGCTGAGAAACTAGTCCATGCATTTGTTACTTCAAGGCTGGACTATCGTAATTCTTTACTATCAGGAAGACCAAAACTCTAGTCAAAAGCCTTCAGCTGATCCAAAATGCTGCAGCCAGAGTTCTGATGAAAATGAAAAAGAGAGATCATATTTCTCCTATCCTGGCCTCTCTTCATTGGCTTCCTGTTAAATCAAGAATAGAATATAAAATCCTCCTTCTCACATATATCAGAGATCTTAGAGCAAAGAAACAGATTCATAAGCAAGTAGGAGAGAAGTAATTGAGTAATTGTATTTTAGATTAAACTGCTTGTGTCAGAATTTATTATGCATGTGAAATTTTTGGCAGAATTCCAACCTTATATATTAGCCTCTAGATGTACAGAGTCTGTAGGAAATGTGTTGAAATTACCTACTCTGGTGCTCAACACAAATGATCTCTACACACTTAGGGTGGTATTAAAAGGAAAAAATGAAAACAATGTATTTTACTCCCACTTCACCATACTGTTCTACATTGTTTTGGTCTATTACAATAAAGCACACTGAAGATAAGAAAATAAAAAAAAATTAAAGAAAAAAATTGCACATTTTTCAATATCATTTTCAGATTTGGAGATGTTCGCCACTTTATTTCAGCTTCGCGGGGCTGAGAATATTAAACTTAACTGAACATCTAATTCTGGATTATTATAATACTGCTCCCTAGGCGACCATCAGCTTGAATAGAAGCATTTTTATCAAATTAAGCATAGACACATAAGAACATTTTCTCCCATTCTGCCCTGTTTGAGACCACGCTCTAAATACATTCATCCGTCCTGTAAGGGCCAAAACAAATGAAATAGATCATCATATTATTATTTTCTTAAGACAGAAAATCTGCGCTTGATGGAAGAAAAAAAAATCAGGAATATGGAAAGAATGTTTTAACACACCATTTGTAGGGATATGCACGCATCGCTGCAGATGAAACTGAGGGACAGGTGTTAATATATGGTGTAAAACATCATAAAAGTTTCAATTTAGTAAACAATTACTTTGTAGTGAACATACCGGACAGCTTGGAGCTCCTTAGAGGGTCCCACGTCAGCTGCGGGAAACTTCTGTAACATGTCGACCTGAGGAGTAACAAGAAGAGGGTTAAACACCCCGTGATTTGAGGGTAAAACCTCATCAGGTTACTGTATTGTATTTTACAATGACACAATGGCTTGGTATTTTAATTTTGTGATGTAAAGTGGATATGTCTCCATCAGTGAGTGTGTACATGATTTCCTTTTGTTTTGATCTGAAGGTAAAATATGTTTAAAAACTAGAAATTCACTTTGTGGTTAAAATAACATCATGATGCTACAATAACCATGCATGACAGCTGGTAAACTATTTTCAAGACGAAAAATCTCCTTTTGACTCCTCTGAACATCATTCGAACTTTAAAGGGGGACAGTTGTGTACTATAACCAATCTGATTGCAGACAAAGGCTTTCTAAATAAATTAATACCCCCCTTTATTTTATTTCTGTGTTTTAATGTTGTTTATGCACAATTTGTTAGCAAATATAAGTGATATTTACTACAAGACCACATGATCGAGGTACGATGCAACGTATGTGTGCAATAAGTAAACAAAGAAGTGATGGAGCCAGGAGGGGGAATAAAAGAGGAAAAGTTCAAAGTCAAGTGTGAAAAACGTGATTGGATGCCAAGAGGGATGGAGCAGGAGAAGGACTTGTAATAAAAAGTTGGCTGCTGAGTCGATGGATGCATGAGTAAATAGAGGCAGTAGATGGCGATGGTGTACAACAATGTTCATGTCTGATGATCATGAATGGAGAAAACATTTATATTTAGGCAAAAAATAAAAAAAAGAACAATACCAGTATGAAGGATTATTTATTTAAACAAGGGTTGGAACATAAATAGTGCATTTACACCAATCGTGAAATCACCAGCAGTTTGCCTGGCCAATATGCAATTCACACAGCGGGAGATTTCACATGGCAGGTGAAAGGCGCCACCACCTTATCCAGTCTGCTGGTTGTTGGTTTCATCTTAGCATGGTGTAAACAGATTTTACAGAGGGAGTCACGGTACTGCATTTACTTTGAAAAGCTGAGAAAAGCCGCTCGGGTCCCTGGGTCAGAGACGCTGCCAGATCAGGAAGTCCAGCAGCAGCTGGATAACAGTCGCTTTTCGCTGAGCATAAGGTAAAGTGAGGCAGTGTTTTGAAGCTCAGACAGAAGCAGTGGAAACTCAGAGCAAGAACCCAACAGAGAGAGAGAGAGAGAGAGCACCAGAACCAGGATGATGTGTTTGGCTATGCCCCTCCCGGAACGAAGCAACCACAGCGGTAGATCGGAGAAGCCTACCGGGCCTACAGAGATGGAAGGATGACGACGGTACATCGTGGAAGACAGCCGGGAAGGAGAGAAGGGGGAGAGGGCTTCATCCATATGGCATTTTTAAAAGCCCACTATAAACTTCCCAAGAGCATTTCCTACTCATTATTTGTCAACATTATTTTCTCTATCTTCCATTTTAATAAAGAAAAAAGCTTGTCCCCACGACTTTCTTCAATGTAGGTCACTAGCCTCGTGAGACCATCCTGATCTCGCGAGCTTTCAAGATTTCACTCGCTAATCAGTCTCGAGACTCTCCGTTGAAGAAAATTTGGAGCCGTTCACCAAACGAACGTCCAATCAGCGTTGGCTTTGAGGCGGGTTGAGGTGTGACGCAACGAGAAGCGCGACAGTTCAGTCTAAAGAACATGGCGGCTTCAGCCGACGAAACTAGCGTTAGCGTGGCTATCGAGCAAGTTTTATCGGAATTACAGAGTATTTCTTCACTGAAAGAAGAGCAAAACACTGCTCTGGAGGCTTTTCTCAGAGGAAAAGATGTTTTTGCTCTTCTCCCGACTGGTTTCGGCAAGAGTAGCCTGGCTGTTAGTACGTCATATGCTTCGTTGATCTGATTGGTTTATTTGGCCCGTCTATCACCAACATAGGCCAATCAGCTAACCAGTATTTTCGCCCCTTCCCAAAATTACTTTAACCGAAGGTTTCCAGATGGATATGCGGAGCAAATCCATCTGGCGGAGTCAGGTTAGTAGGTCACAGCCACATCTAATCCCTGACTGGTTTTCCGACGCAATGTAAACAAAAGTTCAGATTTTTTAAACTCCTGTTTATTTTGAATTCGCCTCACTAGAATAGTGACCTTACCTTGCTCTGCATTGAAACGCCCCAGAGCCGCCTATGTTGAGGGCTGAATTTAGCATTTTTTAAATTTGCATTTGCACCAAATGTGAATCCAAAAATGCAAAAAAAATTAAGTCTAAAGCATTAATTTTGGTTATGGATCACATAGAATTTCATGGAATTGAAAAAAAAAGAAAAGAAAAAAAGAACTTAACTGCAACTTTAGTTGTTATTTATACAAAAGTCCCAACAGGAACCTCTGTGTTTGCTGTTTATTGTACACTTGTAAATCTGACACACAAACAGCATCACAAACATTGGTCCACTGGGAGTATTCAAGCTTAAAAACCATCTCAATCCAACAGAAGTTACTCTGTAACTATGGTTCTATGAGTTCCTGGATGACTACCAGTCACACCGGTCACTCTGAACCCCTCATTTAGGGGATCCCAGGAGAATAAAATAGAGAGCAAGGAGTTCTACCCACTGTTTACTGCTACTGGCAGTCAGAAAGTAATGAGCCAGGACTCCTGTTACTGCAGCACAGACGTTCACAACCCCAATGTCAGCGTCCAGAGTTGCAGCACACTTACTTCAGGCCAGCTGACGAGTTATAGAGTCACATAGTACACAACTAAGTCCCTGGTAAAATGAGGTGAAACATGGATTGTTGGTCCTACTAACTGGCTTAAGGGTAAATATTTGCCTCAACGTTATCTTTGTCCTCATTACACCAAATGCTGCATGTTGAAAAGCATATCTTAAGCTCTGAAAGGCAAGCGTTTATGCACAGATCTACTGTCTTTATCTGTATTACATATGGAACTTTATCTTCCCCTTTCAGCCAACATTAAACATGTAAAGGTAAAATTTTATGCCTCGTTGCCATATCATTTGGACCGTATTTAATGGAAGGATTTGGACTATATTTAATGTCAATGTACTGTTCACACTTCTATAAAGGCAGCTTTTTAAAGTTGCATAATATATAAGGGCTTTCTGGAAAAATAAAACAAATGATTATAATTTCAACCAATATGATAGTTGAAACTAATAAAATAATTAAAAACAATAAATCAACTATTTGTGCTCAGTTTGCCCAATAAATTTGGATATGAAAAGGTTGTTTATTTTGATTTTCGATTAAAATACAATCAATTGATTCAATTAATTTAGTAATTCATAAAATTACCCGGTAACTCGAACACACTTTCTGTTTTTTAATAAGCACAATAGTCTACCTGGGCCCTTAAATGTGACCCGTCTTAACGGGCTGTCTCGCATTAATCTGAACCCTATATGTGAAGATTCTCAGTCATCCAGTTCTTGGTCGAGCTAATCTGAACCCACCAAGTCAATGATGTAACACTGACTTATGAGCAGTTTGTTTTTTCCAGTTCATAGCAGGATAGAGCCTCAGCGCTCGCCGGCTTGTTCCAGTTCTGCTATTTCAAAAAGGACAGCAAAATACTTTCCCAAATGGTTTAGATCTAAACTCCCCCCCTTCAGATCTTCTATAAATTTTTTGGACTTCCCCAGTGAACTGATTATTGGTCAATCTAATAAATCCAATCCAACAAATCTTGTTATGCTGGGAAAGAGAAAAGACCCGCTGCAATCAATCATGGTCACTAACAGGAAGACAGCAGGCCTTGGTTTCACCAAGTCTTTAAAAACTTTCTGTAGCCTTTAGCTCCACTTAATAGACTGCTTTCAATGGATTTGTGAATTTAAGCCTGTATGTAATAACTGCCTTTGTGTAGATCAAAGGAAGATATGTGTACTCAAATTTAATTATTGCTGTGGCCAGTTCTTGTATTTAAAAAAAAATCCTGCAGCTGTTTGTTATGTAAATGAAAAGAATCGCCTCATTTTGCTTTGAAACAGTGAATCCAAAGATTTAAAAAGGACATAGAGAACAACTGTGAAAAAGGTTCATAGAGGAAACGCCTGAAAGACGACCTATTGATAAGCTCATCTGCCAGAAGCATTTGCCTCTTCAATATCTCACCAGTATAAATCAAAAGAAAATCCTCTTTAGTATTTCAGGCAGATGTTCTCATGAGTCCTGCCATCCTCCAGGCTGTTCATCCTCAAACTTGACCTCAAACTGAAGCCCAACCGTAAAGCTAAAAGAACACTGCAGTTCCTCCTGAGTCTTTAAGCCCAACAGCAGTTGGTGCTTTGCTCGATGCTGATAAAATGATGACCTTGTCTGTTCCAAGTCTCGGCCTGATCAATCTGTACCTGATCTTCCAGGTGTAGCACCCTCATCTGAGCCCTTTCCTCCCGTTCCTTCGCCTCTTTGAGCTGCCGTTTGAGTTCAGACACGCTGGAGGTCTTCTGGGAGAGCTCCTTCTCCAACTCCTTCATCTTGTTCTCGAACATCCTGCAGGAGGATATCATAACACATTTTGATTTCCACATTTTGTGGTAATAAAAATGAAAACAATGTCAAAACTTTCTGTGATCATGGTCTAAATTGATGAAGGTGAAAGATACAATTTCTTTATTTTTATTTTTCAAAACAAAGCACCCAAAATGGGCTGATGCATTTCTGTTTAGATGCAGTCAAACCACATTTTTCCAGTATTATACTTTGGGTTTTGTTTCCAGCAGCTTTGTACATCTAAAGACTAAAGTGCAACAAGTCCAAACGTGTTCTGGGTGTCGAAACACTTAAACGCAGAAACTTGGATATTGGGTCAAACTCTAGTCAAGATGCTTTTGCACTTCGAAGCTCTGGATGCTCAACTCTCCGGTCCTTTGCTCTGCAAAGTAGAGAGCAGCTTGGCTTTATTTGCTTAAATGAGTTGGAGGTTTTAATTTGAAATTTTTTTAGGCTGGTAAGTCCACCTCAATGTTATCTATAGACAGTTCATAAGGATTAGGATCCTGCTTCAGATATACCACAGGCCTTTAGAATGTTCCTGGGATTATTCCTGGGACTAATTTATTTGTGTGAGAAATTATTCAGAGCTTGCAATATAATTAAGTAACCCTCAGATTTACTGACCTGGTTATAACGGTGGCCTTCGTAGCTTTGGTGTCTGATCCCACAGCTACAGCTTTGGACAAAGCTGCATGCAGTCTTTGTTTGGTTTCTTCCAGCTCTGATTCCAGCTTTTCATTGGTTAGCTCCAGACTCGTCTTGGTCACCCTCAGCCTCTCTGCTGCCTCCATTTCCTGTTGCAGCATATCATCCAAAAACATTTAGGGTAGATTTTATATGGAAACAGTGGCGACTAAATCAAACTTTGCATTCTAGCTACCCTCTTAATCTCCTTGCGAAGACGCTCGTTTTCCATCGCTATCTTCTCCAGTCCTTTCGTTTTAGCTTCCAGTTTTGCACCAAGCTCAGCTTCACTTTGATGCTTGAGCTTCTCGTAGTCAGCCTGAAAAAAAAAAAAAACTCCTTCATTTGCAGGAATAAAACACAGATAAATGTAAAGTGGAAAATAAACAAGATGATCACCTTCAGTTTTTCATTTTCCTTCTCCAGGGCTACGACTCTGCTTTGATTTGGATGCACGCTAGATTTCTTCAGTGCCTCGTTTTCTCTCTGGACTCTCTCCACCACCTTTTTCATCAGCCCAATGGTCTTCTCCAGCTCAGGGACTGTTTTCCCACTATAACCAGTCTGAAGAAGGACAAACATATAATGTTGAACCTTCACTGAGTTGCCATTTTCCATGTCAGCACCTCTAATTTAAGATACATAAAGGTTGTTACGGCATTACAACACACCACAGCTTACTTACCCCTCGTATATGTGCCAGTTTTTTATCTACCTCTGCTTTTTCCTGTTTCAGTGCCGTGCACATTTCCTTTAGGTCTGCAACCTGATTCTAGGGAAACAGAAAAACTTTTACGGTCATGGTAAAGGTAAAGAAAGTATGGCTTTTTTGGATTCTAATATCACATCTGACCCACTGATCCTTAACACGGGCATACCGCAGGGTTGTGTTCTCAGTCCCCTTAACAAAACAAATGTTTTTGTAGCATTTAAAGATGACAACTCATATCTAACAATTCGACTCACTAGAGAGAAGTCTGGACACAGTTTTTTTTAACCCAGAACACCAGCAATACCAAAAGGTCCTGGTGCACTAGACCAGCGGTTCCCAACCGATGGTTCTCCTACTCCTAGTAGTCCGTGAGTGCATTGCAAGGGGTACATGAACATATTTTATTTCTAAGGTAGTAAAATAAAATAAGGCTGGGATCTGTTTTATTTTCTGAGGACCCAATTGAAAAATTAAGCAAGCTTTTATCAACCAAAAAGTACATTTTTCTTATTTGTTTGTTTGTTTTTGCCGTCGTTCCTACGGGATTCTGCAAAAGTTTAATTTATCAGCTGGCTCCCTTGGTCGCTTAACATACGTCACGCACTCCGTTGCTCTTATTGGTTGTAGGTCTATCCAATTGAGTGCAGAGGCATTTTTTTTCCTGGTTCGTTCCAAACACGCCCCATAATCACAGCTCTATGGAGCAGTATCAGACTCATATTCTGACTAGAATTGAGTAGGACTACGTCAGGCTAATGTGTTGGAGCGCCTACACATTTTTTTCTTTTATAAATACTTCCAACATCCCTTTATGGGTATATTATATACTACAGGGTTTCCCACAGTGGGGGTCAGAGCCCCCTGGAGAGTCACAAGACACTAAGTGGGGGATTCTGAGATGGTTTTCAAAGTCATTAAAATGTGATCCCTGAGTATATCATAAAACACATAAATATGTATGTGCTATAAAAAGTGCATGTATGTTATTTTATTTATCGAATACAAATTTAATATTTCATAATAAAAAATACATATAAAATGATACATAATTAAATATAATTCCCAAAATATATATTAATTGAGAAATTAAAATGATTATTTCCCTTTATATTCTGAATAAAGAAAGGTAATAAAAATATAAATATCGTACATACAAAAAACTATTACATTTTTATATGTCACCTTAAATCTTTTTTTTTTACCATCCACTATATATCTGGATGCACTATATATACTTCATGCACCTTTTCCTCCTTTGTGCACCTTCTGTTTGTTTATAAGAGTCGATGTCAAAAGTGAATTTCTCCATTGTGGGATCAATAACGTTCTACTCTATTCTATTCTATATGTACTTTCAGCGCTTCATCAGACTCTTGCACTAATTTGGGGGTAAAAGGCTGAAATGTTTGGGTACCCCAGATAAAATCTGTGATATTTTGTATAATTTTTCTAACTGTACAAATATTCTGCTAAGGATGCTCGTTTTTTTTAAATGTTAGTCTCTGTTCTATTTGTGCATTTTGAGCCGACGTCTCAGCAAAAATAGTTTCATAGTGACAATAAAGTCTTTATAACTTCAAAGTCTGTGAAGCTCATTATGCTGGAGTGAGAAATATTACTCACAACAAGAAATCACTTATTTAACAATATTCTCCCTGAGAGAACATTCAAGCAAATTCACTTCAAATGCAATGCATCTTAAGAGTTTACAGGCCTCAAACTGCATGTTATAAAAATGAAGTTCAGAACGGGATAAGGACTAAACAAGCGAGGCTTGTTTGGTAGGGGTGCCAGGAGAAAGCGTTCATATTTCAAATTAAAATCAAGCAGCACAACTGAAGCCTCTAAAGGAACCAAAGAAGAAACAGGACTGCACATCAACAACCTCCATCTGTCAGACAGCTGAAGTTTGGCTCATGAAACAGAGCAAAGCCTCAAAACAAAGAAGCAAATCGACAACAGAAAGACTAAAATGTCTTGCAGGGGTCCTGTCTGAGTCCGCTGGTGTGCAAACAAATGTTGTAAAGAAGAGTCCCGATTCCTTTGTGGCGATGTAATAAATTGAGACGCTGCAAAAACTGTGATATTGGTAAAGTCAGTATTTTTTAAATGAATTGCATTTTGCTCTCTGTTGAGCATGTAAGGAAGTCAAACCGCCAATAGAATTAGATGTTTTACATTTAAAATGACAAAAAACATCTCCATTATCTTATATAAAGGACATCAACATTTGCAGATCACCAAATTAACCAGCAAATAAAAATTAATTTAAAAAGTCTTGAGAGTAACTTTGCTGTTTTCTGTGATTTCTTGATTTTTTTTTCACATACAAGTTTTTGTTTTGTTTTTATTACTCTTTTTCAGGATTAGTTTAACATGTGGCATTCATTTTAAACTGCGCTCTACAGATCACATTCTTTTCACTGGAAGTTCAACACAAACTCACCTTTGATCAATAAAAATGTTGCAAAAGTGTCACTAGAAACAAATAGAAATGCGTTTTTGCTCCCCATCTCCCAAAAAATTTATAATTGTTTTTTTTTAGAAATAAAATAAATGCTGATGAAGGTTCTCAGTCATCCAGGTCATAGTCATTCCGTAAAAATTCAAAAAATATCCACTGGACTTGGTTTTCAAGATTTGAAGACGTTTCGCCACCTCTCCAGGAAGCTTTCTCAATTCAAATGTCTGGATCCGCAGTGAGTTTGAGTCTTATATAGACAACGCCTTGTATCGCTTGGAAACATGCAATGGAAACCGATGAATGGGTCGTTAGTTCCAACGTTAGCCTGTAATATCTGAACCTGTCTATGATTTCTAGGGGTCGGTCGTTAAAGGGGGGATTGTCATTAAGGGGGGGGATTTTCTCCTGTAATACCTGAAACCTGTCTATGATTGTTAAGGGTTGGTCGTTAAGGAGGTATTGTTCACCGGCTGGAGCGGGTAGGTCCCTCGTTCCTCTGTGATGGGGTGGGGGGTTTGGTGATATCTGGAAGGGATCATGTCTATGATTGAATTGTATGTTTTTGGAAGCTGGAATCTGAGTCCACCACCTCTGTTTAAAGTTGGTTTTTCTCTCTTAACATAGATGGCTTCCTTCACGCCCCTCTCAAACCACCTATTTTCTTTATCCAGAATATGGACATTCTGGTCCTCAAAAGAATGTCCTTTGTCCACAAGGTGTAGGTGTACTGCGGAGTCTTGTCCAGAGGCGGTCGCTCTTCTGTGTTGGGCCATGCGTCTGTGGAGAGGTTGTTTGGTTTCTCCAATATAAAGATCAGAGCATTCCTCACTGCATTGAAGAGCATATACCACTCCGCTCATATTTGGTCTGGGGGTTTTGTCTTTCGGATGCACTAGCCTTTGTTTAAGGGTTTGGTTTGGCTTGAAATGTACTGGGATCTTGTGTTTGGAGAAAATCCTCTTGAGCTTTTCAGACACTCCAGCAACATAAGGGATTGTGATGTTTTTGCGTTTAATTTTCCCATCGCTGTCTTCTGTTGCGTGTCTTTTGGATTTACTTGCTGATTTGATAAAAGCCCAGTTTGGATATCCACAGTTTCGGAGAGCATCTTTGATGTGTTTCTGTTCTTTTTGCTTCCCATCTGTTTTAGTAGGGACATGTTCTGCCCGGTGTTGTAAGGTTCTGATGACTGAGAGTTTGTGTTCCAGTGGGTGGTGTGAGTCAAAAAGAAGATATATAATCTGCAAGTTTCCTAAGCAATTTCTCATACTCACGCGTTATTCCAAGGGTGTCTTTCCCAAAATGGAGTGCAATATGCTGATGAAGGTTCTCAGTCATCCAGGTCATAGTCATTCCGTAAAAATTCAAAAAATATCCACTGGACTTGACCAGTATCTTCTTTTTGACTCACACCACCCACTGGAACACAAACTCTCAGTCATCAGAACCTTACAACACCGGGCAGAACATGTCCCTACTAAAACAGATGGGAAGCAAAAAGAACAGAAACACATCAAAGATGCTCTCCGAAACTGTGGATATCCAAACTGGGCTTTTATCAAATCAGCAAGTAAATCCAAAAGACACGCAACAGAAGACAGCGATGGGAAAATTAAACGCAAAAACATCACAATCCCTTATGTTGCTGGAGTGTCTGAAAAGCTCAAGAGGATTTTCTCCAAACACAAGATCCCAGTACATTTCAAGCCAAACCAAACCCTTAAACAGAGGCTAGTGCATCCGAAAGACAAAACCCCCAGACCAAATATGAGCGGAGTGGTATATGCTGTTCAGTGCAGTGAGGAATGCTCTGATCTTTATATTGGAGAAACCAAACAACCTCTCCACAGACGCATGCCCCAACACAGAAGAGCGGCCGCCTCTGGACAAGACTCCGCAGTACACCTACACCTTGTGGACAAAGGACATTCTTTTGAGGACCAGAATGTCCATATTCTGGATAAAGAAAATAGGTGGTTTGAGAGGGGCGTGAAGGAAGCCATCTATGTTAAGAGAGAAAAACCAACTTTAAACAGAGGTGGTGGACTCAGATTCCAGCTTCCAAAAACATACAATTCAATCATAGACATGATCCCTTCCAGATATCACCAAACCCCCCACCCCATCACAGAGGAACGAGGGACTTACCCGCTCCAGCCGGTGAACAATACCTCCTTAACGACCGACCCCTAGAATCATAGACAGGTTCAGATATTACAGGCTAACGTTGGAACTAACGACCCATTCATCGGTTTCCATTGCATGTTTCCAAGCGATACAAGGTGTTAAGTTGTAAGTAGCAGACTGTGCATGTATGAGATGTAAGGAATGGGAGGCGGGGCTAGATCTGGGTTTTCCTTCTTCATAGAGTTGCATGATGAGCGCGGGAGCGCATGTTGTAAACTGTTGATGGCGACCATTAAAGTGTGGATATTAACGTCAGCAGTGTGATTATTGAGCCAACATTGGTAGCAGAGGATGGCCGCTGCTGGAAATTACAAAGTTCCCCCACCGTTCGACGAGAAGACGTCTTACGAAAGTTGGAAAAATGAAATTGAAATCTGGAGACTTGTTACCGACTTGGACAAAAAGAAGC